TTGGGGCCCAGCCCAGGGTCTCTGGCCTGCTCATAGCAAGCTCTACCTCTCAGCTACCCTCCTAGAGACTTCCTTTTTGAAGGTGATTACCCTGTTCAGTTAGACCCACTATCTGCTGGACTGGTATCTTAGATAAGGGTCCCTCTGTGGAACCAGTCTTGGCCAATGGTTACCCTGGAGTTGGCAGGAGGCCTCACACCACCCAGGTTTTCCCTAGCAACCCAGAGTGAACCGCCAGACTCCTCCCGGCCGTGGGTGCAGTGTCCCTGCATTTCACCAGCCGTTTTGCAAAGGTGTCTTTATTTCATGTCCATCATCATGGAGTTTTGGGACTTGGCATGTTGGGGGCACTCCTGCAGCTCCCATGAGCCTTGGCTTTTAGACCGAGCCTCCCAACCCTGAGCTGGCCATTCACATTGTGGCCCTCTTCGAGGCCACTCCAGTGCCAACTTCTGGACCTGTTCTGGTCTGTGTCTGCAGCACCAAGACAAGGCTAGGAAACCACTCTGGTTGTGACGCAGTGGAGAGGAGGGCTTGGAGAGGAGGGTTTCCTCTTTGGCTATGTTTCCTGTGGGTGCCCAGAACTCCTGATTGAGGCCGACCCAGCTGATGGGGGCTGTCCAGTGAGACCCTCTCTGTCAAGTGCCTGCATGGGTAGTATGGAGCATTTGAATGTTCCCCTTCCCTCCCTTTGCCTGGAGGGGGGCAGCCTTAGCAGGTAGCTTCCTTTGCTGTGTCACCATGGAGACACAGTACCTGTGGGTGATTCAGAAACTTTAAACACGCTCCTCATGTTTCGGCCTCATTGTTTGAGTTTCAGAGTCATTCCTGACAGGCCCCTTTTCCATGCCCAGGTAGTGTTTGCATGGGAGATAAAGCAAGTGGGGGGTGGGGTGGGGGGGTCTGTAGGTGCAGGAGCTATGGAGGGGTGGCCTTGTCTGGGCCTGGCACTACCCAGCCCTGCCAGCTGCAGTTAGCACCTGTACCCCTTGCCACCCGCTTAGTGCACCTGGAGAGGGGGAGGTCTCTAAGTCTACCAATCTACTGATGGGAGGGCTTACTGTTCTCACTCCACCAAGACAGGTGAGGCACAGAGGGGCTAAGTAACTCACACAGGGACACGCCTTTCTGGCTAGATGACAAGTGGACAGGCCCCCTGAGCTCAGAGCTTCTGCCGTCTGGGATTTCCTACTAGTTTATGGTTAAAAATCATTTTGTGGAGTCTTGGGTGCAACTGACTCGGATGCGGTACACACGGCTGGCAGGACTTGGAAGTGACCTGGCTTGGTTCTTCCCACCATGATGCTCAGTGGTACTTGAGGAACGATGGGGAGAGGAGCTCAGGCCTGTGTGGCCGTGGCCTGACCTGCCCACCCTGTCTGCCTCAGTTTTGTGATGGTCAACAGTGTGGCGCTGGAAGGGGACGGCTGCGGCATCTGTTCTGAAGTAGAGGCTGAACTCACTGAAGTCTCTCGCAGACTGAATTGCTCCCGGGAGGTAGGAGAGGTCCTCGGGTACAGGCCTGTGCTCCTGCCGCAGCTGGGCTCCCCCTTCCCTTCCTGCCTCCGACCAGGTGCGCTGGGTTAATGGCTGACCTCTGACCAGCAGGTGCCAGGCTCCAGCCAGTGTGCGGGTGGGCAGCAGCTCCCCGCCTCTGCACCCATCCTCCTGCAGGTGAGCTGGGGCGGTGGGAGCCGGGCTGGGCAAAGCCACCTGGGGGTTCCTGAAGTTACATCCATCTCCTCTTCGGGTCCTGGCAGCACTACCCGCTGTATCGCGCCAGCGATGCCAACTGCTCTGGGGAAGACGCGGCTCCTCCGGAGGAGAGGAACATCCCTTTCCAGGAGAAGTACGACGTGCTTTCTCGGGAGGCCTCACAGAAGGTGTGCCAGTGGGTGGACCCCATGCCAGGGTGGCCCTGCTTTCTTACCCTGTGCATCGTGGCTAGTCAGGGGTGGGAGGCGCCCGGGTGGGGGCGGGGGCACAGGACGGGGGGGGGGCGGGGGCCCTCTGGAGGACTCGGCAGTGGCTTTCTCCTTTCTCCATTTGGGAACATCGTAACATTCTCGGCTATTGTTTGCAGTCATTCTCATAAACTTAAATGGATTTTGGAGTGTAAAGGGCACTTAGAGTCAAATTTTTAGGGTCTTAATTAAAAATGCACTTTCTTAAATATATATAACAAATATAGACATAAATAGCATTTATAGATAATGAAATATAAGATTCATATTTATACTTGAAAGTAAATGAATTTCTATTTAAAATATATTTTGGAAAATATGAGATAAATTTGTAAAAATGTTTATAAAAATAAAACATGTAAAGCCTGGGGTGAGAAGAGTAGAGTTTATGAGGCTGGGTATTAACAAGCCTTACTTTTTATAAGCAAGATTATTTTTGGAGGAGAAAATAAGCCCATCCTCTGTAGCAACCGGGTGATTAGCTCAGTACATGGTGGCCCTGGGGCAGGGGCGGGGCGGGGGGGAGGGTCCACGAGGAGTAAGCGCTAACTGTCTGTCCCCTGGGCCCAGCTGCTGTGGTGGTTCCGGCCACGCCTGATCCTGAGTGGCCACACGCACAGCGCCTGTGAGGTGTTGCACCGCGGGGGCGTCCCCGAGATCAGTGTCCCATCTTTCAGCTGGCGGAACAGAAACAACCCCAGTTTCATCATGGTAACGTGAAAGTTTATTTTCATCTGAAAGCTTTCATAGGTATATAAGTCAACACAGTAATCAACTATTTAAGTGCTGCAATCTGTAAGAAGGTACAAAAGCCAGAAATCAGTGAGCCTCCTACACACCATGCTGTGTCACTCTCCCGCTTCCCAGCAGCTGCGTGGGAACAGATGAGCAGAGCTGGGTCCTGGGGCAGTTACCGCAAGCAGCATCTCCTGGGTGTGCCTTGCCCCGTGCAGAAGGCAGTGTCTGCCCATGTCACACTCTTTTTTTTTTTTTTTTTATTGTTGGTCGTTCAAAACATTACTCAGTTCTTAATACATCATCTTTCACAGTTTGATTCAAGTGGGTTATGAGCTCCCACACACTCTTGAGTGTGACATTTTCTAAGGAGGCAAGATCTTGTCACTTGTCACCAACACTCGATTGTCTTGAATTTTGCAAACGCACTCGTTTGCCCCGGCAGACAGTGCTGCCGCGTCTGCGGCTGATGGACAGTGTTGGTCCATCAGTGACATCTGGAGCGACCACACCCTGCTTTTGGTCATGGGATCCTGCGCCTGGCTCACAGATGCTTTACTGTGGCAGGTGCTTTACTTCATGAAAGGTGGGGGACCCTCGTATTGTCAAATTCCCAGTGTATGAAAACATTCTCCACTGTCCTTCCACACTGTGCACTGGCGACCAGGGGAAGCCCGTGGGGGCCGGGATGTGACTCAGGGGCGGAGCGCTGGCCTGGCATGACAAGGACCTGGCTTCCATCCTTAGCACCGCAAAAACAGAGAGTAACCTGTGGACAGGTGTGGGCATGCGTGTATGGGCATGGAGTGGCATGAGAACACCCTTATCTGCCTGTTCCTCGCTGACCATTGCTCCCTGGTCTCTGACGCGCTCTGAATCTCTGTTAGGCGCCCCCCATTCTTTGGTGGGAGCCCCCAGCGCCGGGGTGAGTGCGAATGGCGAGATCCATCCGCATCGCCATCCCCTCCCCCAGGCACGCCTGCCTCACCTCCTCTTGCCAGTGCCCGTGTGGGCAGGTGGCGGCAGAGCAGGCCGAGGCCCCTGATCACTTGGTCTCGGGTGGGAGGGCTGCCCCAGCCTCACCAAGAGACCCCTTCAGGGCAGACTTTCCCCTGGCGCTAAGTTGGGCTGCTGTGCTAGTCCTCTGCAGAAAGAGTACCTTCCTATTTCTTTTCCAGGGCAGCTTCACGCCCAGAGACCATGCCCTCTCCAAGTGCTTCCTCCCCCTGGAGGGCACAGTTCTGAGCACGTACTGCGCAGCCGCAGGGCTCCTGGTGGTCCTCACCTTCGCCCGCCTGGAGTGCCTAGCCAAGCCTTTCCTTTCCGTTTGGACCCTGCTCAGAATGCACATGGCCCGGTGAAGAGCGGTGCTGGCTGCGCGCCGTAGCGAGTGCCAAGCCAAAGACCCGGCTCCTTCAGGACTCATGGGGCTCAGGCCAGCCAGGCTGGCTGTGGGACTGCGCTCGTCAGGGGAGGGCTGAACCTCTGAGGAGTGACTGTAGAATAAACCGCTGATGGTCCTCATGCGATAAAAATGGAACACGTACTCTATAACAGCCTGCTTACCGAACGTAGGTGCGATCGGAGGTGGCATCTGCCCAGCACAGAGGTGCCCGATACCGCTCCTTGCATGATGCACCACCCTGCTCCCCAGGAAGCACCCGCGCCCTGGTGCACGCTCAGGCTGACACGGGCACATGCACATTGAGTGTGCTTCTGTCCTTCTGTGAAGTGGCTCTCAAATTCCTACGTCCTATGAAGCCCTAAACTTAGAACTACAGATGCGATGTGTGGGGCACATGGTTGATTCTTATAGACTTCTGTACTTCTATGGGAAACTAATAGAATCAGTTTTAGGTGAGTAGATTTTCTGTCTAGGAGACCATGTTCTTACATCTGAATTCAATGCCTGTTAATGATCAAAAATTGAAAAGAATGGAGTGCTGATATATGGCTTTTAGTATTAAAAATGAATATTTTGATAATTTCAAGTCAGATGTCATGTCTCCTTGTTTTTGTTTCCTAAGAGTCTGGCTCTGTTTTTAATTCCAGCTTTTGTTATTTGTTTGTTTATTTGGGGTGGTGCTGGGGACTGCACCCTGAGCCACACATCCCCCCCCCCTCCAGTTCCTAAGTCATACTTGGTCAGGGGAGTTGCCTAGTGGTAAGGAGTTGTAAGGAGAGGACAGCCTTCTACAGCTTTACTTGTTTTTGGTGGATGTGTAGCTCTTCAGTTTTCTTCCTCCCCTGTGAAAGCAGAAGGGGACCTGAGACCATCTGCATTTCAGTTCCACTGCGTCTTAGGCCACCGTCGGGAATCAGAGGAGCGCGAAGATGGGGATGATGAGATAGATAGCCTATTTGGGAAGCTGTCATGGTCCATGGGAAGTGACATCTAAATCTAGTTGAATTCCTACATGATCATAGAATGCTGATCCACAGAGTGTACTTGAATATATTAAAGACTAAAAGAAAGATAATGAACTGACATAGGCTGTCCCTTCTCTGGACCTGTACTGTTGAAAGTTCAGTTCTGGACATCTTTACAGATTGTTGTAGGACGACCGAGAAAACCAAACCTGTGGCTGTGGATGGAACTGAAGCACCATTCCCGCGGCGATTGAGCCTTCTTAGGGGTCGTGCCAGGATGTAGCTCTTGAGGCTGCATTTGAGAATCTTGCACAACAGCCATACGTTCTGCCTTCATATTTCAAATAAAGGTTCTGTGGGGTGGGGTGTAGCTTAGTGGGAGAGCACCTGCCTGGCAGGACAAGGTCCCGGCTTCTATCCCCAGCATTGCAAATAAAAATGATTTTTTTAAAAAAAGATTTTATAATGTTTCATCTTCACAAGACAAATGAAGATGCAACCCTTTTTCTCCTCATCCGGATGCAAACACAGATTCCACTTTGCTTTTCTCTCGTTATCTGTTTACTCGCCTGGTGGAGTCTATGCCCAAAGCTTTGGCTATGGGGATGGCGGTCCTGTTCCTACCTGGGGAACTTGAAGGAGTCTTTAACTAGCAAAGTAATCAAAAAACATTGACTGGGAAGGAAAAATAAATCCCTAGCTCTTGGAAAGATGATGTTGTGATCTGTACCCCGAAAGGGAGTTCAGGATTTTGCAACTGAGACCCAGAGAAGCACAGGCAGGTGGCTGAGGCAGTGTTGGGACAACGTTGTAGTTGAGGATGACATATAATTCACAATTTCTTGGAACCAAGGATATCTTACAAAGTCCCAGGCTGATGAGAATGTCGCCAAAGCTACAGATACCATTCGTTCCCTCTTATGGGGGAAGCGGCAGGTCAGGATGACATAGGCTGATCAGCACTACTGAAACACAGGTCCTTTACAGGGAGAACCATCATCCAAGGCACAAAAATCTACAAGGAGTTTTCTTTAGTAGTGATACAAAAGAATATTACATTTTGTGGTCTGTACAGTGTAATAAACCAGCAATAAACCAACAGTGAAAGGAATATATGAAAGAAGACTCCACCCAAATATAGTGAAAGCATAAGGGATCTTTTTTCCAGACAGGACAGGTTTTCTAATAGTGAATGTGGCAGGTGTTCTGCCTAAATTCCAAAGGCTCAGAGGAGCTCTAATTCAAGTGCCTGAGGCTGGCAGCAAGGGCAAAGGAGACTGAAAAAGGGCTTCTCAGCTGGGTGTGATGGAGGTCGAGGCCAGAGGATCGAAAGTTCAAGGCCAGCCTCAGCAACTTAGTGAGACCCTGTCTCAGAATTAATAAATAAATAAATAAATAAAGAGAGCTGGGGGTGTAGCTCAATGGTAGAGCACCCCTGGAATCAATCAATTCCTAGTACTGCCAAAAAAGAAAAAAAAAAAATCTCTGCTTGGTTGCTCAGGGTCTCCTCCATGCCTTGGGCCAGCCACCTGCTGGCCTTCCTCAAGGAAAATCAGAGGCCCCTGGCTCAGGGCACTTTGCATATGCCTTTGCAATCATGCTGAATAACTTGAAGAAGGAAAAAAAGCACTTTCTCCATCTACCTACAGGGTCTTGGTGAGTCAGTCCACAAGTGTGTGACAGGGGTCCCCACCCAGAGAGGGCTCCCTGCAGCATCAATGGGTGAGTGGGAGGTTCTGCAGCAATGCAAATCTGGGGGTGGAGGTTGTGTTCAGTGAAAACCAAGCAACAGAACTAAACCTGGGGGGTGGAGGTAGCCAGAGGCTTGGTGGGGCACACCCAGGGCAGGACAGACAGCAGCCAGAGGGGACTAGACACTCACTACACCCTACCAGGTCTTGGATGGATGAACACGCAGTCTGGCCACTCGTTGGGGTGGCAAGAGGGATGGGGGCAGCGGAGGGACAGGGACAGTGGGCCTCACAAGAGTTCGTACTGCTTGAGGTGCATCCTCTGGATGATGTCACGGCAGTCGTTGAAGACCCTGCGGATGTTCTCTGTGTCCACGGCGCAGGTGAAGTGCGGGTAGCAGTAGTGCTTGCCATCCCCAGTGGCTGTGCTGATCCTCTGCAAGAGAGAGCCAGGGCTGAGGGCCGGGTGGGCCCATGCACTCGGGGCGGGGCGGGAGCACCTGTCAGGAGGTGCCTGGACAACCCGGAGCTTACCTCTGCCCACAGGTGATCCCTGCTGAGCTGGAGAGACAGCACCCAGGTGCTGGCCAGCCTCAGGAGAGGCAGGCTAAGGTTTCCAGAAATGGGCACCTAAGCATGGTGTGCTGGAACACACGTCATGTTCTCCTCTGTCCTGTCTCCTGCTCACGGTGCAACCCAGGGACTGGCCTTAGCTGACGTACTTTTAATAAGCTTATTAAACATCTGGTGTGACTGGCGGTCCAGCAGTGGGCAATGCACCGGTCACAGGGACTCCTGCTCACAGATGGTCTTCAGCATTTGCTGAGGGTGCCCTGGGCTGGCAGTGGAATGTCTCCTGGCAGTCTGGGAGCACAGCACCTTGTTGTCCAGTAACTTGGGGGATGCAGGTTAAAGATCCCTGATCATGATGCTTAGAGTCACAGGCTCACGCACACCATGAAGCTGCATGGGTGGATGAGAAGTGGGCTGTGGCTGAATCTGAAGTCTGAACCGGCACAACTGGTGTGCTCCCAAGAAGAAATTGGACACAGACACAGGGAGTCCACAATGAGGAGGAGGTGGCCGGCTACAAGCCAGGCAGAGAGGCCTCAGGAGGAAGCAGGGGGACTTCAAAGCTCTGGCCTCCAGCAGTGTTTGGAGACCTGCTGTTCAGGCTCTGGCAGCCCAGGACTGCTCTGGGCTCCTCGGGAATCCCTGAGCCTCCTGCCCCTCCCCTGAGTGAAAGAATCTTCAGGCTCTGTGACTTCTCCAGGGGTGGGTTAGACTAAATTTGAGCACAAGTCAGGCTTCTCTTGAACATTTTTTTTTTTTTAATGTGCCAGGAGTGGAATAAGTGCTTCACCAATGAGCTACACTCCCAGCCCCTATTTTTCATTTTTAAACTTGGGAACACCAAAACCAAGTGTCTGTGTGCGCACTCGGGCAGTGCTGGGGATTGAATCCAGGAGCAATCTGCCTCTGGGCCACATCCCCAGCCTTTTTAAACAATTTTTACTTTGAGACAGGGTCTGCCTAAGTTGCTGAGGCTGGCCTCCCACGTGCCATCTGCCTGCCTGTCTCCCGAGCCACCTGGATGACAGGTGTGCACCACCACATCTGGCTGGTTAAATATCCTTTGTGCTCTAAAGCACCAGGTGAGCTATGGGTGCACACAGCATAAGTGCACCGAGAACAAATCAAAAGAAGGCTGTTTTCTGTAACCACCAGACTAGCTGGTCCTGTCCCAGGGCAATAAAAAAACTGGGGTAAGGAGACATTACAAAGGTTGTTGCAACTTGCAAATCTTGCACAGTTCTCCTCGCAGCACACCTGCTTTGATCACTGGCTTTCACTAAACACGAGGGTGGTAACTGGTCAAGGAGAACTGGCAGTCCCTGGCTCTCTGCATGCCTGGGGCCCTCTCTTAGGAGACGGTGGTCAAGGTGAAGGAAGGCTCAGGGGAGCTGGTGAAGCACCAGGCAGTCACCTAGGAGGCAGGAAGACTGCCATGGTGCTGGGGTGCCAGGATGCAGCTGTCCACCCCACAGCCACCATCTTAGCTGCACCACTGGGAGGCCAGTCCAGCTCTGAGTTGGCACTCCCAGCTGGTTTCCAGTCTGAGGGACAGGATTGTTCCCAGTGACGGGCAGGACCCTGGGGGACACCTGCCTCTCCCACTCCTGGCTCCCTCAGCTCCAAGTTCCTCCTGCCTGTGGAGATGGTTCCAGCTGACCCTATGGAAGGAAGGGCCTTGTCGGAGACTCACCCTGGTGGTCGGTACCCTCCTTAGGCAATGACTGTAAAGTGCATCTAAGGAGGATGCTCACCGGGCGCGCAGCTGGCTCTCAAAGTGGACTTCCTGCCACTAAGCCCCCTGCTCCTCTGCCCTTCCCAGAGGACTTCTAGTAGGAATAGAAATTTATGGCTCATTGGGCCTTAGAACCTAAAGCTGCCAGTCGAAGCTGATTTTTTTTTGGGGGGGGGGAAAGTACTGGGAATTGAACTCAGGGGCACTCAACCACTGAGCCACATCCCAAGCCCTATTTTGAATTTTTTTTGAGACAGGATCTTCACTGAGTTGCTTAGTGCTGAGGTCAGCTTTGAACTCGTGATCCTCCTGCCTCAACCTCCTGAGCCATTGGGATTTCAGGCGTGAGCCACTGCACCTGGCTAGGTTTTTTCCCTTTCCAAGGAAGGAAAGGTTTGTCCAGACAAGGTCTGAATGCCCCTTTGCTGAGGGCCATTACCAAGTAGGAATGACGCATCGAAATTTCCTTGCCAAGCGTACCCCATGCTGCTTAAAGGACATTCGATGGGACATTGCATGCATGCTTTAATAAGGTGACCTTGCTCAAGGACCAAGGCGGATCCAGGGTTTAGAGCTGATCAGGTTTGAGGAAGTAACCGGCTCCTTGAGTTTAAGGCGTTGCCAGTTTAAGATAATGGGTTTTAGGGAAGTTAGAGGTTGAAGGTTATTGCTGGGATTAGGGTGTTCCTGCTGCTTGTTCCCGTTGAGTTCTCGTGAGATTAAAATGGGATTTGGAGTAGGTGAATTGGGCGGGAGACGGCAGAACGCGATTGCCCCTGGACCTGTGTGGAGGCGGTGTGAGAGCAGGAATAAAGAATTGCTGTTTGAATCTACAAAGTGTGGGGTGGCTCGTGATTCTGGTGCCAAGCCGAGACATTGGCACCCCTTATTTGGGGGATGGCGTAGTTTGTCTTTGGCACGGTGGATAGAACACAGAGCCTGCTAGGCCTGTGCTCGGCCCGAGCGTACAAACCCCTGACATTTAAAATGTTTTTTTTTTTTTTAAATTCTGAGACAGGGTCTCACTAAGTTCCCGAGGCTGGCCTCGAACATGCCGCACTCCTGCCTCAGCCTCCCAAGTAGCTGAATTACAAGTGTGTACCACCCCACCTGGCTTTTATAACCTCCATCTCAATGCCCGACATTTTCATACTTAATTAACATTTAATTCTGATTAGAGTAGTGTTCCATGGGGCACTTTCTAATGTGTCTTATATTTTGAGGTCTTACAAGGTGCTCCTCAAACAAAGAATCCCCGGATCTGCTAGGAACTGAATTGTCTTATTGAAGATGTTTCCAGTATGTCCCCGTGTAGGGAGGCTCTGGGAATCTGACCACCAAACACCTGCTGTGGATTCAGAGTAGCAGCAGGCTCCAGATTTATGTATTTGCAGAAGATTTTCTGGTACCGCCTGTTCACTTCCTGGAGAACTCTTATCTCTCTGGGCACGGATTTCTTACCATCCTTACTTTCTAAATCAGTGTAGGACTCAAAAGGCAACCTGCCCTTGGAGTGTGATGGCAAGGGGGGCAGGCAGGAGAGCTGAACTGTGGCCCAAGGGCCACTCCTGCGCTGGCTGGGCTAAGAAACTGACCTGTCCAAGAGACAAGGTCCACTGCACCTGTCATGTGCACCTGCAGTCTCACCAGGAACATGCCCTTGGCATTCCTTGTGAGTCACTAGTTCCAAGCCAGGAAAAACTCACAGCCAGCTGTAGGTTATTCAAGAGAAAAAAAAAATGTAGACATATATACATAGAAACAGCAAATTCGGCAAAAATTTTATCAATCTGGGGTCAATTTGCATAGAGTAGATGGGAATTATTTGCATTTTTTCCATGTTTTATGTAAATCTGCAAGGATCTCAAAGAGTTGAAGATGAAGAAAAAAGAAAATATCTTAATTTGAGCGGGTCCATTTTTATGTTAAATTTTTCCTGTTACCGCTTTTGGTGGGGGAAGTGGGGTACCAAAGTATGAGAGCTGGAGTCGCAGCCTGTGCAGGAGGGTTCTGTTCTTTTCAGAAAGCACAAGTGAGTGCTGTGTTACCCTGGTGAGAAACCTGACCTCTCTGACTCTCAGTGTGTGCCACGGTGAAGGGAGCGAACACACCTCCTCTCTCCTGGCTCATGATTTTTGGGAAGACTCGGTGAGATCATGAGAGGCTAAGGAATCTGTGAATTATAAGGAACAACGTAACTTAGAAAATACTGCTTACCAAAAACAAGTCCCGGATAAAGAACTTGGCTCTTGTGACTTTAGGGTCTTCTCCTGCATCTGGTGTCGCTGCGGAAATTAAGAATGGAGATTTAAGTGGTGAAAGAGACAAGTGGGTGGAAACCAAGGAGGAACCGGAGCTGGGCTGCCCTGGTTACCGCGTCCATCACGCCAACAGAAGGCTCTTTCCTTCTCCCCCAGATCACTGACACGTCGTTCTTGGGCCTCTGACAAGGCCATTCTTTGGCAGTGCTGTGGCCTGAAAGTGTGTGTCCCTCCCAAGTTCTCTCAAAGCTCAAAAGGTCGGTCCTTTGGAAGGCCATTAGGTCAGGTGGGCTCGAGACTCAGGGAGGTTGGGCACACCTTCCACTGTGTGAGGATTCAGTCAGAAGCACCAACTGTGAAGCAGAGACCCCAAATATGCTGCTTCCCAGCCTCCAGTAGAGGGAGCTAGAAATTCCTGATGTTTATAAACCTCACAGTCTCAGGTATCTTGTCATAGCAGCCAAAATGGGCTGAGGGAGGTAGAAACTCTCCACTCAGATAAAACGGGTGCACCTCCGTGCATGCTGACCACAGCTCCAGAGCCGGCTCTGCCCGCAGGCCTGCTCGGACAGGAAGACTGGCAGCCCTGGGCCTTCTGAGGTGAGGGTTGGCACCGGCTGCTGGTGTGACTGCAGCTGGCATCCATCAGCCCTGCTCTGAGGGGCAGAGGGAGGGGGGCTGCAGCAAGCACTCTGGCCCCGGGTCCTCCTGAGACCGTCTGCGGTCCTGGGACTGGCCTCCCATTTTCTGCACGAGGGACATCTGTTCTCCTGCGACTCAGGCTGCGCAGGTGGGCTCACCACTCTGCCTTCTCTACTGAGGGTCCGTGAGGACATGGCCACTCTCCTGGGAGCGGGATGGCAGGCCTGCTCTCCAGACCCGCCAGGCTTGGCTGGAGGGAGGGCTGGGCAGGCCATGTCGGTGCGACAGGCAGAGAGGGCAGCACCCCCAGCTCTCAGCCCAGCTGTGTGGGGCATCACTGAGAGCTTCCAATCCCACGTGACCCTAGGCACTGGGGGTGCAGCGCGGTGGAGCGCTGCCCAGCAGGCCGGATGCGCAGAAGGAAGCCCTCCCTATGTCTGCGGCCCTGTGTTCCTTCTCATGGCCACAGTTCAGGGCGTGGAGGAGGAGGTGACGCCAGGGACAGGTGGGTGCCCTGGGAGGTCCAGGGGGATGTGACGCAGTGCCCTGGTGTGGCTGTCACTGGGCCTGAGCCACTGGCCCTGTCCATCCCCTGGCTGGGGCGGGTTGGCCTTGGCTTGCGAGGCAGTTAAGCCAGTGGCCACAGTGCCCCTTAGATAAGTGTGATGGCGGTGGGGGTTACAGGAAGATGGCTTGGCAGAATTTCAGGGAATGTTCTGGAAGGATACAGGAGGCCAGGGAAGAAGCTGTGGCAGTCTCCGAGACAAGGAGAGTGAGGACCTGGACCAAGGACGTGAGGGCAGAAGGAAGGAAGAAGCTGATTTGGAGGTGGCTCTACCCAGCTCGGCCACCTCCCAGACCCAGAGGCCAGGGCTGAGGTGGGTGGCACCAGGAGAGGTGAAGGCCTAGCTGGCTGGGAGGGGGGCAAGGCCAGCAGCACGGGGCACCAGCAGCCCTATGGGTCCCCTGAGGCAGCTGCCCGGCCCGCTGTGAGCTTCAGCAAGGAGAGGAGGAATGCTTGCTGGTGAAGGAGAGCCGGGGCGGCCCTGCAGGCCGAGGCCCCAGGCCACTTCCAGGGCTATTCACCCTGCAAGGAGGCCTCGAGCTCCTGCCCTTGGCCAGCACATCGGGGTGGTTCAGGTCTTGCTATGACTGTGCTAGTCAGGGGCTCTGCCGTTATGGGGAAGAGAAAATTGAACACAAAGAGCAGGAAAGTTAATTACAAATCCCCAATTTCCTTCCCCTCTTCACTGATGATAGAAAATAAATCCCCCAAACCTGAGCTGGTCAGCAGGCGAGTCCCTTTCATTTGGCTTCATCTAGTTTGGGCTTCGGATATTGAGAAATGATGTCATTCTGCCTGTGACAAACCACCCGGGTGCCTGCTGACACTGAAGCACAGTGACCAGCCCTTCCTGGTGACCTTCCTGCCTGGGCGCTCAGCCCTGCCGGCTCAGGTGGACGGATGGCCCCCCAGGGCGTAGCCAAGGGCAGCACAGGGAGGCTGGCAGAGCCGGCTGTGGGCCAGGGTTCAAGGAGTGTGCTGCCCACGCAGGCCCCCTGTGTGTGGCCTTGAGCAAGCTGCCACCTCTGTCAGCCTCACATTCCGTGGTAAAATAATAGGAAGCACCACCTCAGCTCCCAGGAAGGAGGAAGGCTCCCAGCCACACAGACCCCAAGGCAGAACTTACTCAGGCAGTGACACATTCATACCCCCCCAATGGTCCTTTCATTTTTTTTGGGGGGGGGTACTGGAGATTGAACTCAGAAGCACTCAATCATGGAGCCACACCCCCAGCCCTATTTTGTATTTTATTTAAAGACAGGGTCTCACTGAGTTGCTTAGGGCCTCACCATTGCTGAGGCTGGCTTTGAACTTGTGATCCTCCTGCCTCAGCCTCCCAAGCCACTGGGATAACAGGCTGCACCACTGCCCAATGGCCCTTCCCTGTGTTGCTCGGGAGTGTGAACCATTTACAAGTGGATCCTAAGCCAGACAAGCGTCCTGAGATGCCTCAAAACAAAAGCTTTTTGAGCATCAACATGACACAAGTGGAGTATTACACGTCTGACCTCAAGTGACAGTAACAGCTAGAACACAGGTGTGCTACAAACCTGCAACCTCACCTCAATCCACGGTGTAAGGTGGACATGAAGCCATGAGTTCCACAGTCAGACCCGGGCCCATCTCATGATGGAGGAGCAAACATCCCCAAATCATGAAGCCCCTGTGGTCTGAAGCACCTCTGTCCTGTCCCTGGATAAGGGTGCTGAGCCTGTGTGCCAGCACTTCAGATGGCGCTAGAGGAGAGGGCTAATGGGGACTGGTGGACGTCTTAGTTCAGGAGGTGTTTGAATGACTGGACCAGAGAAGTCGTCACTCCTCCGTCACAAGGACCTGCTGGAGCCTTACCGTCTTCGGGGACGGTGTAGTTGGCGTACTCTGGGAAATAGTCTTCGATCTTCGATTTCCCCGCTAGGACTTTTTCCGCCAGCATGTCCTGTTTGTTCAGGAACAGGATGATGGAGATGGTCCGCAGCCACCTGGAGAGCAGGAGACACAGACTTCACCTGTGCTGGGTGAGAAAGCTCCGGGCAGGGCTGTCGCCCAGAGGCAGAGCGCTCGCCTGGCACAGGCCAGCCCTGGGGTCACCCAAACATTAAAAAACATTGTGTCTTCCTGGAAATGTACAGGATTCATTTTTTTAAAAAATTTACTTATTAATTTTTTTGGTACTGGAGTTTGAACCTGGGACACTTGACCACTGAGCCACATTCCCAGTCCCTTTTTTATTTTGAGACAGGGTCTTGTTAAGTTGCCCAGGCTGACCTGGAACTCACAATCCTCCTGCCTCAGTCTCCCGAGTTGCTAGGATGACAGGGGTGTGCCACCGTGCCCAGTGATGTTCAGGAGCTACAACTGTTTGGTACACCAGTACCCCCTTCCAGCTGTAAGCCAGGATAAACACTGGGAGTTAGTGGAGCAGTTCAGCATTTTCCAATTCAGCTTCACTGGGGACATAAATTTACTGGTACCAAAACCAAGATTCATTCATTAAACAGAGACAGTAGGATTTTTGTGGTATGATTTCCTAATAAAGGGTCAGAAGACTGACACTGGAAGAATCATTAACAACAGCAACAACAACATATCACGACTCATTAGCTCAAGGCAGAGCCTGGTGTGCCCCTCACCGGGTCTCCTCTGGAGCAGTGGCCTCCTGGGGCCAGGATGTCCATCAGATCTGACTCCCTGAATCTCTACCACCAGCTCAGTAGAGGGCGGGGACATCTGGAGGGGTCTGTTCTCTCCGCCTCATGAAACAGGAACTGAGAACTGGCTCACAAAGAGTCTAGCAAACCAAGGAATCAGTACCGCCTTGGGGGCCCTTGCTTCCCAGCTTACTGGTCAGCCCACAGTCATCTATTATAAACTAAAGCACAGGCCAGGCATGTGGTGCAGCCCACAACCCCCACCACTTGGGAGGCTGAGGCCTGAGGATTCAAATTTGGGACAAGGCTTAGCTATTCATCTAGACCCTATCTTGGATTAAAAATCTTTTTAAAAGGCCTGGGGATATAGCTCAGTGGTAAAGCACGCCCCCCCCCCCAGAGGGGGCAGTCCCCAGGACCACACACACACACACACACACACACACAACAAAACCCCCAACCACTTCCACCACAAATGGAAATGGTGCATAGCTTCTTCCAGTTATAAACTACATAAGCTTTATAAAAAGGTTATTTTGAGAGTATTTTTCTATTATCTTAGATTAGCCTTAATTAAGATAATAACTTATCATCTTAAATTACAGAAAAATATTCAGAAAACACTCAAATGTAATTACACCAGAGAAAATTACTATTAAACTGATCATCTTTTTACACCCAGGTTGACTCTCATATATATTTATAAAATAAGAACATTTTTTTTTCAAAACCACTTATTTTTGTTGTCTAGGTGCTGAGGGGGGCACCCCTGTGCATGCCAGGCCAGTGCTCTGTCTCTCCGCTGGTTCTGTGCCTGCTCCAAACTGCAGTACTGTGTCCTTCCTCCCGGGGGTGAGCAGCGGTGAACTTACAGCCACTCCAAAGCAGAGGCAGGGTTGGCATTTAGTGGCCCGATTTCTTTCCCATTAACTTCTTAGACCACAAAACTGAAGACAGTGTTGGACACTTGATAGAGATACTTTTCCAATGATCCAAGCCTTTTGCAGGGCTAACTTATATTCCCTGGGCTCCTTGGAGACACATCTCAATGCCATGTGAGTAAGCAGTGCCTGGGTGCTGGCACCCTGGCCACAATCACCTCGGCCACTCTGCAGTTGGTAGAATCAGCCTGGCCGCGGCTGTGGTTTTGCGATGCAAGGGCTTTTAGACACCCTCAGTTACCTGTAGGTGCCTTTTTTTTTTTTTAAACTGTGGATTGAACCCAGGGGTGCTCTACCACTAACCACACCCCCAGCTCTTTTTATTTATTTTGAGACAGGGTCTCCCTAAGTTGCTGAGCCTGGTCTCAAACTTGCCATCATCCTCCTGCCTCAGCCTCCTGAGCCACTGAGATTACCATCACCACAATCTGCAAGTGGCCAGCAAATGTTCTAAGCTGGATTCCTAAAAAATTTAAGCATAGAACAAAATCAATTTTGAACCCCAGATGTAATCTCAGGATTTCAAAACAGGTCTGAAAACTGTCTTGACAAAGCACATTCTCTGTTTCATTAGAGCACTTCCCTCACTGTCCACACACTAGATGGGTGAGGGAGGCCCTTCTTAGGATGGTTCGGGGCCGATCAGTGAGGACAGAGTATGTTTCTGGGGGAACAAACATGAACGCGTTCTTCCTAAGAGAAGACACGCAGTCCGGTGTGAGACTGCATGGACCCCGCGTGACCTGTTGTTCCAGATGCTTTCAAACAGGTCCAGGGACTCTCGGAGCCGGTTGGTGTTGTTGTCCTCCCGGATCACCATGTTGTAACTGCTGCAGGCCGCCACGTAGATGATGGCCGTGACGTCTACATGGGGAACAGAGGAAAGGGAAGCCTGTGGTTAGACAGAGGCAGTGGTCTGGGGTCAGGGTCAAGCACACGCCTGGTAGCAGCTCAGGCCAGGGACCCGGACGTCCACTGACCACTGCTTGCGTGGTGTCTGGTGTCAGTGCACACCTCACGGGTTGCCCCAGAGAGAGGTCACTTTGGGATGCTTAAGTTCTTTGTGAGATTTGTGTTTCAGGAAGAAGCACAATGATCTGATAAAAAATGCTGCAGTTTGGCTGGGCACAGTGGTGCCCGCCTGCCCCAGAGGCTCCGGAGGCTGAGGCAGGAGGATGGCAAGTTCAAAGACAGCCTCAGCAACTGAGGGAGGCCCTAAGCAACTCAGTGAGGCCCCGTCTGTAAATAAAATATAAAAGAGGGCTGGGGATG